TTACTTATATTCGTAAGTGAGTAGGGTTTCGAGACTACCAGTAAATCAGTGTAATGAGATGTATTCACCTAGGATGAGAACAACTTTTGGGAAAGCACTGCTATGTGAAATTCAATGGAAACGTCAGCTCAACTCATTTCATTGTGGGAAAATTCTACTACCAGTCCTTCATCACCTTACACTGATTTACTGGTAGTCTCGAAACCATACTCAATTACTTCATACCTTCGTTTGATAGTAAGTAGGTTTCAGGACTAAGCGTAAATATTAAATAGAAATTTACCCTCGTAGTGAGTAGCTTTCGAAATCAGCCAGGCCGCGTTGGAAACCTAGGCAAGGTAGCATTTACAGTTCGACTTGGAAGAGAAAAGTACTTGAGAGGCAAGGTATTTACTCCATTTCGATTAAGGTGATCAAGGACTGGAAATGGGATTTTCCCCATAATCCTAGAAGTAGGCCCTACATTTCACATAGCCTTGCTCCCCAAAATGTACTCTCAACCAGGGCCGACTGCCGTTTCAATCTCGTCCAAGGCTCATCAGCACCCCCAGCGCAACTCGAGCCTTGATGGAAGAACATTTCATCTAGACCCATTAACCACTGCGCCATACTGCGGCAAATGCCTTCAGATCACGGAGAAGATGTTACTATCAAAAAAGGCCATTCCTTTTCCCATATCATATTCTGCGGTGGGTTTGTCGATGAAATAAAGTTCTATTTGGCATTTCAATTGACTAGCTTACTCGTCAGAAGTTCTTTGACCTTGTTTTCGCAATTTGGTTGTAATTGGTAGGAAGAACTAGAGGAATGCACCTCGTCCGGAGTCTATAGTGTGCATAATACTTTCCAGAGACGGAACATCTGGGAATATACTACGTCCACGGTCCGACATTGGAAATGCTTATGCATATAATGTACTCCGGACTTGGTGCGTTGCCCTAAGTCTTTCTACCAAAATGACCAAGTTACGAAAAAAAGGTCAAACAACTTCCATACATCTACGAACATACATCTTGGTCTTCGTACCTTCCAATACCTCAATTATTGTTCGTTTATCATTAAGTTTTCATGATTACCAGGAGATTATATATGTGAGAAGTGCTCACTCTATTTTATTACTGTGATGACGTACAGTTATTTGAATTTTTCCCAAAATTCTATGAAGAGGACTTAGGTTTACATTGAATCTCACATAGACTTGGTTCCCAATAGGTATTCTTGTCCAAATTGGGCTTCAATGCAATTCAATGGAGACGCAAAGCCTACTCATATTGAAGTGGGTTGACCTCGTTGTCGCAACTTGGTCTTGTTGTCAGGGCGAATTGGTAGAACGCACCTAGTCTGAAATCGTCTGCCAAAGTGGTTGTCATGACTCCCAGCATCAAACAGTGGTCTTACTGCCTTCTCAGACGTTTCGCCGGCAGCATCAGAGAGTGCTGCCAGTCTCGGCAACAAGCTACGAATTCGTCAAAGAGACGAGTGCCGAAAACGGTTACACTATCACTCCTCTTTCTGTCCTGGACCATCTATCCACTCTTTACCCTCTTGTCCAACTCACGCCACATAACAACTTGTCACTTGTTTACATTCCACTCTTCAAAATGTGCGCCCTTTTGTGGCAAATCTTGTGTGGCCTTATCACATTTGCTATTTTCCCAGACTCTTCTCTTTCTGTCGGCTTATCCGACTCGAACCGTCAATCTGGAAACCTTCATTGTCTCGTAGATCCGTTCCTTCTCTTTCTGGTTGACCGATTTCACTCGGTTCCAGTCCCAGCATGCATTTCACTCCAGACTCTATTTCTCAAGGACCTAGAAGCAAGTACATTGTCACTTCACTGAGCAGAACGCCTAAGCTCTGGTTGCCATGCTTGCATATATCAGGTCTTCACTTCACGGGTCGTCTTTTTGATTAAAAACATGTTATCGGAGGAAACTGTGGACGCCCTTCTCTGGTGGCATGTGGCATCTCAAGTGGATTTCTTGTACATTTTGGCTATTACGCCGAATTTCCGTGACGCTCTGCTTATCCGTCCGCCCAGCTCCCTGACTGCCAGGCCGCCAAAGTTGTACTGGTTTTTCCGAAATGGACATCATGCACTGACGACGTCTTCACTTTATTGCCGAAAACCTTTTCCCTTTTCCTCCGGCTAGCGGTAGATCCTTGATCCAGACCTATCCTTTTTGCCGATCATGCTCTATTTTTCTTTTCCCAGAGTTTGCTTAGGCAGTAGACAAAGGCATCGCTAACTCTACCTTACTCCAATCTCCTGTTCATTAGATTTTTCTCCCTAATCTTGCGCTTCCTTGTGTTGTCGCCGTATTGCCTTCCAATTGATCTCGTGTCCAGTCTGTGCGATGTGTTCCGCTAAATCTCATCTTTCGGTATCCATTTTCCTGCAGAGCCTCTGATGTTCGTTGATTTGTGTGCTAATTTTTCTCCTTGTTTCGCCAATTTATTTCTGTTCGCAGGCGCCGCATGACAGACAGTAAACGCCTGAACAATCCAATCTATCTACCCTTTCATGTTGCGTTGGTAGATTTCTACTTCACGACCACCTGAATATTCCATTTACTCAATATTGGCCGTAGTTTTTGAGTCAGTTCGCAGGAAGGCAGACATATCCACTTTTGTGAATCCTTCATCGTCCTTACTTTTCTTTCATAGTCCCCGTTCGGCCATCCGCTTTTCACGGCACGTATGTCTCTTTTTATCACTTCGATTGGGTGGAGAAAGGTGGAGGAAGATCCTAGTCAATTTGTCCAGCTCCTCATCCCAAAAATCTGCATCCGTCAAGCGTAGGCTTCGGATGATCATGCTCCTCATTATTCCCATCTTCAGCCTGTAATTGTGATGGGACCGGAAATTGAGTATTATCCCAGCATAGGACTTCTTTCTGAACCATTTCTCGTCGAGCGTCCCATTAGAGCGAATCACTTTTGTTAATTCTTCATCGTCCTTACTGTTCTTTCATAGTCCCCGTCCTGCCATCGGCTTTTCACGACCCGTACGGTGACCAAACAAGGAAGCGGAAGATGAGGGAGGCCATTGACATCGTTAGGGATACAAATCTAATGAACAGGAGATTGGAGGAAGGTGTAGCAAGACCAGCAAAAAGGAGACGCCTGGATCAAGGATCTATCGCCAGCCTGAGAAAAAGTGATCGCGATGAAGAAAGTGGAGGGGGGGGGGCAAGGGTTTTCGGCAATAAAGCGAAGACGTCGTCAGTACATGATGTCCGTTTCGAATAAAGCAGTAGAACTTTAGCGGCCTGGCAGTCAGGAAGCTGGGCAGACGGATAAGCAAACCGTCCCAGAAATTCGCCGTTGTGTCTAAAATGTACCGGAAATCCACTTGAGATGGCGCATGCGACAAGAGATAGGCGTCCACAGTTTGCTCCGAT